TTGATTGCTACGTATAATTTTTAGAGTTAGTCCTTACAAATGCCATACCGCCACATTGCCTCCTGCCTCACAATGTTAATTAAATCGCTTGAGCCCAAATCAGCTTGTTTCTTGAGCTACACGCGCATCGAGAACCGCTCTCGGCTTCCATTTGGTCTGATTAGTTCCAAAAAGTAATTCCCAGGTCCAATAGTTTTGATCGGGGAATTGTTTTGCACCGAGCACCCTTCTATTCCCCCAAGACATGTCCATGTAATTCAATAATAAATGGCTTTCCTTTTGTAAGCCTATAAACAGTTCGATGGTGGGGTTCAATTACACACTATAGATAACAGTAGATCCTAAAATGAAGTACAATGAAGATACTTTAGGTCGAAGTGTCTATCTGTCTACTGTAATCATTATCCTACACCGCATCTTGTGTTTGAACTTGGAGGCTGAGCATGGGCGAGCAAAGGATGTGGGACTGACTAGTTCATACATTCGCATACAGGCTTCAGTTCAAGCCCACTAAATACCCAGCCTTTAATACAGAACGTTTGACTGCTGAAGTCGGCCATACAGGACTGCTCAATAGCGCGATAGTCTAACAACCCGGCGGCTTCTTACACGAATTTGGGCTAGCCTACAGGGTCCCTGCCTCCGAATGCAATTGGTCGACTCCCACATTATACAATAATACTCTACCCTCCTTTCAAATCAAGACAGATTATTGCAAAAAGCGTCGGGTAAATAATTCGGTCTTCCATACACTAGATGGGCTCAACAGTACCACCTTGTGTCTCTTACAGCTCGCCGACAATAATAGGTAGGACGCAATGTTTATATACAAAGGAAACTATTTGTTCGGTAACGAAAACCCAAAGAAAAAATTTCGTATCACTGCATGGATTAACAGTAAACATCCTCGATATGCTTATCCGATTTGCCCTCCATGTTTGGATATTGAATTATTTGTAAAGTTGAATACTTAGATTTCCTCGGCACAACCGCTAAGCCTTCCGTCGCTATTTTGATAAAAAGTTGATCTTTAGCGAAGGTACATATTGTCCTGGCGGTGAATTTGTTGGGCATCCAAAAGTTTGGGAGAGCTTTGCAATCTATCATTTCTTTCTAAAAACATAGTGAAATACAGGCAGGCTAAATGTTTAATTGCGTATTACCCGTCTAAATTAATTCAAGTTTTAGGGAAGGTATCTCTACATGATCTTTGCGCACCCAACCAGCGCAGTGTGGCTCATGATCAATTAAATAGAGCTCTCTTATTTGGTGTCATAAAAAGTTGTTGTTTTGTCGGATATAAGTATGTTCTAAAACTCGTCATGGTCGATTAACGAACGCTGGCGGTGAAGCCGGCATTGTCTAACATAAATTCCTCAGGTGCACCGACTTCAGTGACACTTGTAGGACATACGAGCCCTCGCCAGATATCCACTTAAGGAATTTTTAGCGGCATGCTTGAGGCACTTCCATGTGAACTTCTGTTCGGCATTGCAGAGTGGGTGCGTACTTCTGAGTTTGTTACGCCTGTCAGGAGGCTGATTTTTCCAGCTTCCGCCACAATCGATTCGTTCTTTCAGTCGAGTTTCTTCTAAACTTTACTCAGCCTTGATTCCCCTGGCTTACCGTTCAGTCACCTTTCGTGCTGCCAGCGAATGGGCGCTAAACGTACTCGACGTGGATTCATTCTTCAATTTGCATCAGAATCTACAAGAATATTGCCAACTTATTCATACAAAAAATTTGAGTTTTGTTGCGCCTATTCACGTGGCCAGATTCAACCGATGTACATAATACAATGTTTTCCGCACAACCGGTCTGGTAAAATCTCTCGGCACTCTCGGCACTTCTAATGAGGCAAAAGCACATGAGCAATTTTTAGACGACATCTCACGCCAAATCAAAATTGTCCTAGCACATCTTCAACCGCACAATCTCAATTCTTTTCAGTCAGTGTCGTCAAAAATCTTAGAATTTGGAAATTTATAGATAATAACTCTCAGAAACAGATGGCGTCTAGGTACCTGCATACCTGATGGGTTCTTAGATACTGGTGGATTGATTAACCGGCAACAAAGTTGCCTGACACGTCTGGTATTGGTAACGGATGGATCTTGTCCTCATGCTGGTCGCTGTTTAGGGGGCCTCCACGAGTTAAAATACCTGAAATCATTAGAATGGGAGGGTGTTCAACATCCTGCAGAAGTCGATTCTCTACGAAGGTGCGTTCGTAAGAACAGCCTACACTTGTCCAACTTATCCATCGGTTTCGTCGTACATGTGGCCAACCTTGACTTTTGTCGCGATATCCTTGGGTTGCCAGCACCTAGTATGATACCGCTTGGCGCAACATTATCTGACTCGTCGGCAAAGTATCCATTGCTAAAGTCACTGAATCTGTCAAAAGCCCCTTTGCCCAAAAAAATGCACAAAAACTACGAATTGCTTTATTGTTCGCTGAAGTCACTGACCCTGCGAGAATGTGCCAACGAGCTGGCATTCTTGAAGTGTTTAACTCGTTCACAACATGGGGTGCGCCTTCTTAGATTTGAATTCTGTAGTGACAGTTTGTTTAACGGCGTCAACGAAAGTCGTGATGTGAACCTGAAACCGTTGACAGACTTCCTGGTTTCCTTTCAAGGTCTCAAAAACTTGCATCTCAAATTATCCAACTTTTCTAACGAGCCTCAAATTCAAAACGCAATTGCCCATCATTGCTCCACACTGGAAAGCCTCGCCTATCATGAGCGCCAACTAGTGTCCGTTGGCGAAGAAGGCTTGTTCGAAGAAACTCGAGATCACTCCGCAGCTTGGATTCTTCAGCTTCCAAAGACCGTAGATAAAAGCCACATCATTGCCTTGGCGCTGAATGCTCCCCCTTCATTTGTGGTAAGTAGTCTTGCTTATCAGTAAGAACCCGCTGACAGGAACAGCAATCAAAACTTCAGCATGTGGCCAGTGATTCAACTTTGCGTATTCTACATTTTCGTGTCAGTGGTTCCGAGCTATACCACAGGAATGTCCAAAACGAAGTGATTGTTCGACTGAGTCAAAGACAAGCACGGTGTCCGTATTGCCGTTTCCGAGCCGATATTAGTGAAGCCCACTCCTGCGCCTTAATAGCGAGTAATTACGATACCCGCATTTGTGAAAGCTCTCTATGCACTCCAGAAATGCATGAGTTCCATGAGCCGGATATAACGTCTACATCGTCCCCTCTGTTTACGGAGGCAGACGAGTTCATCTGCTTCGCCGAATGGGCATTTGGCCCAAGAGGTTTGCCCAACCTGCGTGTATTGGCATTTGGAGACTTCTCATTTGAAAGCCGGTACGAAAACCAGCAATTTTTATTTCGTCGAAGATTTAGCAGCCAAGGTACAGGGCCCCGACTCGGCGGAGACAGAGATTGTTGTTGCTGGGCGGGCATGTCTTTCTGCGTTGCGAGCGGCACAGACCCCCTCCTATGGAATGACATTGAGATGGATGAAATTAATTTTCTATCCGTTTGCCCAGAGAATAGTTTAATGGAATCGCCATATGAGTGATTAATTCATCATGCGTATACTGGTTCGGCTCTTTTAACACGTGTATCCACCGGCTACAACATAGAGTATTGCCCGATATGAATTTCCTTTCTTCTGCGCAAGGGTGAAGAAAGAGACTCCTGCCCAAATGGTACCAGCCAGCTGCTCCGGCCTCTCTTGGAGAAAGCCTGGAAGACGTCGCGGCTAGACATACCAAAAAAAATGTGGTTGAAACACCAGGCATACTCCCACCTACTCACAATGATAGATGACTCACTGCACCAAAATAGCATGTAGACAAGAGGTGGCCCAGCGATGTTGCTACCTAGGCTCGATGCCTAGGCCAGGGAGACGAGGGGCTTAGCCCACAAAGCAGCTAGTCGAAGCACCGACAAAAAATGGCGCTTTAATATGGCGCTCTAAAATTATCAAACGCATCGCTATCAGATCAGTCATACGGGTCGGATTGGACTGGAGCCTTCATTGAACAAGACCAACTGGGCAGTTCACTCTCGAAACGCAATAAATAAATAGGTGGATATCCGCAGGTCGGAGATACCCATATCCCGCCAAGATTCGGCAGGGATCAGAGCCCACCCAAAGAATTAACGAGTGTCGTGAAAAGTGGAGGTGAATATTACGGTGACATGGGATTGGTCCTCGAGTCACCCAGTTTTGCTTATGCTTTGTATGTAATATGCGGGTAACACTTCGATATCGGTATGGTCACTCGAATACTCCATTACACCGCCTAGGGACAGCTCAACCTGCCCCTTTTCCTTCTACATGAAGGATTTTGACTTAGTCTCTTAATCAATCAATTTCTACATGATTCCGATAGCTCCCATTCGCCCATTTTCTTACTAGTGTATACGATTTTAGCTCGCTCTGACAACTAGCCGCAGCCGCCTTTGGTTTTCGAAGAGGCGTCTGGACATTCCTCGACTACGGAGCTAACAAACCTCTTTCCTGGTACCGCCACCCGCGACACTCGAAGGATAAGTGACGCATTATTGGGCCCTGTATATCACAGTTTGGGAATCCCACAATGTAGGACTTTTCTAGTCCGAAGAAAGCGCGCATCATGAACTCCAGAAACCCTCTTTGCGGTTACATAGTTAAGTGGTGAAACTCAAAGCGGCCAGGCCAGCACAGCAGGTTGATCGACGGAAAGATGCAGCAGAAAGAGGCGTGGACATGGCCAAAAAACTTACCAACAAGGAAGCTGTCGAGATAATGTGCAGTCGGATCGTGGGGTGGCCTTCTTGGTGGTGGCAAGTAACGTGATAAACCCACTGGACGAATCCGAGGAACATCAAGGCTGATATCCGTGCCCTCCGCTACGCTGCGACCCACCCACTCGCTGACGCTCATGGGTGCGCCACGCTTTCATGACCACCACCTTTTCATGACCAATTTTCCAAAACACCATGCAATTAATCCACCAAACTAGCTAAATATCAATTAAATACACTGTTAACCTATATAGAAGAGCTCTCCTTTCTCCCTTGCTTCCTTCTCATTATCAATTGCCTTCTGAATACTCTCTTTGGTGCGCTTCGAGGGTTTATAACCATGCACAAATTCGAACTGCTTATCAAGCTTCTTCTCCTGAGCAGCGTTCTCCTTCTCCTTCCTCTCGCGAATTGACCGATTCGCATCGCGAGGCTTTAGTATACCATCCTGGCTAAGCGGTTTAACCTGCCGCTTAGTATATACTCGACGTTGGGGGTCTTGCGCAGCCCGAACGCGCCGAAGTGAATCCTGCGTCATAGCAAGCTCCTCTAGCTTATCCAGCTGGTGTTTGAAATTTTTGACAATATTTCGCTGAGCCTTCGCTGAATTTATCTGGATATCTCGTAATATCTTCGCTTGATTCCTCTCTAGCGCTTCAATAGTAGTAGGAGGGCTATTTTCCACGCTAGAAGATAGAATTTCTGGAGATGGCGTACGAATATACGACCGAAGCTCCGGGGCGTATAGAGTAGGAGGATCTTGCTGCTGATTCGCGAGATTATCCACGATTTGACTACCATTCACTGGGTAAATACCACGCTCTTTGAAAGATTGACGAATAATTCGCGGATGAAAGGCCTTTTCGCGAATTGGCCCGATAATCCGTAGAAAATCCGATTTCCCATACGGTCGACCACCCCAGAACGATAGCTCATTATTCGTAAGCCGAAACTGCTGTTTATAATTCAAAAAGGGCTTCCCATCAAGCGGTTGACATAGATGAGTTGAATACGGTAGAAATGCGAATGGAACAATTGAATTATCCTCGCATTTTTGGAGAAATTCGAGAGTAAGATGTGCGCCGTGCCCGTCGAATATAAGATATCGCTTTTCGCCTGAATTCACACGGTCGGTAGTAGCAGTAATAAAGTAGCCTAGCCAAGCTAGTGCTAATTCATCAGAAATATAGCCATTTGGTGACATTGCAGTGCCTGTGTTAAGTGGTAAGGCTTCGCTACCATCGTACCAGGCTTCCATGAAGTTAGATCCGCTACTTTTGAAGATAAAGAGCGGATCCATTAGCTAGCCGTCAGCAGCGATACACTCAACTGCAGTAATAGTTTCGCCTCGCTCAGTTTCGGCTAGATCAGGGCAAGATAAGCGAGAGCCAATAACTTTCCTCGATCGGCCCTGGCCAGGTTGGAAACCGCATTCATCAAAGTTGTATACTAGCCGCGAGGGCACCTCATCAAGGAGAGTTGCTAGCTTATGGTACCAATGCGCAAGGAAGCCTGCATCTTCGGCTTGGATTCGCCTTAATTCCTTAGTCTTTTGCTTCACAGGAGCTAGATTTAGATGCGCTGGAAGACGTGCTATAAAGCGATACGCCCACATCTTGCTAACCTGCCTCTCTGGCTCTCCCGCTCGTGCGATCGCACGATTCGCCCACGCTTCTATCACTGCTGCGGTAGGAGGAAGGTTCCAATCGCGCATTTTAGCTATCCAATTGATCAAAGCTTTCTCCTGGAAGGCACGAAGAGCGTTTCTCTGCGAATCCTGTGGGATAGGAGGCGATTTGGCCTTTTTGACGCGCTTCGATAGGGTCTCGCGCGACACGTCGAATTCACGCGCAATTTTGGAGAAATTTGGTTTTTTTTTGCGCATAGCGACTGCGAAGGCCTTTGCCATACGCTCTTCGTTGAAATCGGCAGATTTAGGCATGTTGGGTGGTTGATTTAGCTGAATGTGTGGTGTTTTGGAAAATTGGTCATGGAAAGGTGGTGGTCATGAAAGCGTGGCGCACCCATGAGCGTCAGCGAGTGGGTGGGTCGCAGCGTAGCGAAGGGCACGGATAGCAGAAGTTGAAAAGGGGCAGATCACATTGAAAGAGATGGTAGGAAAAATTCCTGGCTTTTACTGGGACTTCGAGTATACTCCATCTCTGCTGTCGTATATCTTCCTTTATTTGTCCTCCACTTTCACCCATTTCTGCATATATTGTGGGACTGAGGGCTTTCAGGGCATTTGATACTGTTTGGGACTGATTTTTGGCTGATTTCTATGGCGATACACCGTTTTCCTATGTATTTACTGTTTCATGTGCGGGTCTGGCGGTCGGGTCACTCTTGTTTCCGCGGAATGGAGCGCCCGCATAGCCATTACGCCACAAGTTAGGCTGCAACAGGTTAATAGAGCGTTGCGTGATCGATTGATTGATATTACCTCAAAGCGGCCAAGGCAAAAAAAACTCGTAAAACGAAAAAGGCCAAGCCCAATACATATAACCAGAGCCCCCAATACAATAGTTGTAAACGGTACTCCAAGCTCACTCCCATCGGGCTCAAAAAGACTCCTCGATCCCTTCAATCGAAAAATACTTCTCCTTAGGCCTTCTCTTGCCACATAAGTCTTGCGAACTTATTGTCGAAGTTTTTTGTTCAATGTTATGCGCAAAGGCCTTAGGAGCAAGCGTGGACCCGTCCATAAAATGATTAATGCCTTATATCGTGCTTTCGCTGGTCACTCCCATGGTACCTGGTGTCTCGGGTATATAGCCAACCGAAAACGATCAACTCTCCCGGTAACGGTATTACTGCATTGCGAGATAATGGCCTGAATTTGTCGGCGTATGTGCCGCAGATTGTTTTGTAATGATTCCTTTCCGTGCAGAATGAAAAGCCATTCATCTTCTTCTCTCTCAGTTGCTCGAATACTTTGGCGTAGTCGAAACTCCACCCAATGCACCGGATCTGATATAAGAAATGCAGATATGTAGAAAAATATGTCATCAGTGGATGTTTGAGGAGAAAATGGGTCCGGTCCCGGCCAGATAAAGCAGCGGTCGCTCTCATGGGCGGGGTAAAAAATGCAGTCGACAGGAGTGCAGAAATTCACGGCTGTGACGGTATAAGGTGATAAGGAACGACCACATGCGAGGCTAGGAGGCGGCGTTGGAATGTCAGAGAATTCTTTCCATAGTTGCTCAAGGTCAAGCTCTAGATGACAGTCTAAAGCCAGTTAACTAGTTTGTCATTGATTTCACGAAGAAGCCGGACCTACCTAATCCCACTGAATCTTTCATCCTCCATTAACTTCTATCGATGGTATGGTGGGACCTTGCGATTAGACACTTCTAAAGTACAAAGGGAAGTACCCTGGCATGAATGTAATGGGGATAGTCTCATTTTATAAGAGGTAGAGTTGATTTGGTCAGATTTTCCATTGAACAAAGGTTTGTACATTGCATTTTAGAAATTCTACTCCATGAGAATCTAGCGAGCAGATATGATTGGACAATCTGCCACACGGATAATTCCATCGTACCACATAACACCTAAACTAGATCTCATCCAATATTACGCATTTTAATCTGGCATCTGGAAGCATCAATTTAATTCAATGACTATTCCAAGGTTAAACCTTTTTCAAATCTTTGGAACGCTTCACATCACTCGGTCAGCCTGTTCATTCCAATATAACGCAATACGTAGTGTTTGCAACTTCGAATTCCCTCTGAGGAATGAAAGTGTTCGTCAATCGAACAATCTCCAACGAACCTTGGTTAATGTTAGCGTTGTAGGAGTGGCTAATGTAACTTAGATATGGTAAGACTCCGATGAGAAGGAAGTCAAAGGATTCCATTATCGTGTCAGGAAAATTCGTTCAGTCAGTTATTGATTCAAAGCATCTACATGTGCTGTTGGAATTAATTATCGGAGTTTGGAATTTAGAGTGCCTGCCGAACCATGTGATAACTTGGGTCTCCCGATTGCCAGCTCCAATTCGAGCGGCCCATTGAAATAAGCTCTTTCAAGTGTAGCTCGCAAAGTCAAGCGAGTATTACAGTAGCGAAGGCCTTAATTCTGTGGAAAGTCCTAGGCAGTGTAATCACCACTAATTCAAAAATATAATATACTCTACATCATGAGAGACTTTTTGAATATCTTACCACAAATATTAACGTGTTAGTAGTCCTGCGACAGTCAACCCATATACTCCCCAACCTTCCAGACAGTCTATGAGAAGTTGAAAAAGGAATGAGATCTACGGAAAATAACTATAATTACGTTGCAATTTATTATCATTTGCCAAGCACCTACAGCTCCTAGGAACCATAGCTTCATCACTCGGGAATTCCCAGAAGCTCTCATAGCGATCACGATAACCTTGGCTATCACTATCTCCATTTACTACAAGTATGCGTATTCCTCTGGTCCTTACTTCAGATAATTAACCATTGTACTCGTTATGGCTGTCCCTGCGCTTATGCATCCTATTTTAGATGCGATGATTATTCCAATTGTCATGACAAGGCTGGTATTCTATGGCCGCACTTTTCGAGAGAATCGACGATACCAGATTTTAGACGCTATACTTTCACTATTCAACTTCTCTTTGCTTTTAGTGCTTGTTGCACTGGGTTGTATGGGGGATTACGGAACATGTCAGGCAAAATATTCAAACTTCATCGCTTGGAACGCTACTGACAGAGTTTCAACAGGTCAACAAATTTTGCTCGCCATTATAGGAATCTTCCCTTCTTTAATTGAGGTGCGCATTTCCCGCAGACAACAGTCGGCGAGGCCAACTGACACCGCTTTGACTAGTATCTGCGACTAAAGACGTTACTAGCTCTGCCAACTTCCAGGCCTGGGACTCTGTGTGCTGTCATGGCAGCGGTCTCATGCTGCGCAAAACTAATGTTTGGCGTTCTTGGTATTTTTTCCGGCTTGCCTATGAAATATGGTCTATGCACTGTTATTGTGGTCGATTATTTGTGTATTGTCACGTGGTATTTTTGGCTTGCTCGGCGAACCGTTGCCGGGCATTTGGGTCGAGCAAAGTTGGAATCGGGCATACAACGCACGTGTGCAGTAATCCTTCTTCTCGTGACCATCGCAATACCAGGTGCCGTTTTGCACAGCTGGCGTTTGTCCGTTGAAGTAAGTAAAGTCACTTTAGCTCATATATAACTGTTGACCAGCCTTTCAAGTCTCAAGTTATTGTATCTTCAGCATGGTCTCTTCGACATATACTCGACTTGAAATCAAGAAGCTGCGCAGATGACTACCCCTGGCCCGGAAGCCATGACGATAATCCTTTCCCTGCTAATTCACGATCCACGACTTACCACTGCATGATTTATGGCATTAATAATGTATCAACTATGTGACAGCTACGGAGTACTTGGAAATTGGCCAATCAGAGCAACGGAATCAAAAGGGGAGATTGATTGAATTGATAGACTTGATTGATTGAAGAACATAAAATGAGGGCGCTCATGGGGTTGAAATACACATGAACTTACAGTATAACAGAGGTCCACGGATGTTGAATATCCTGGTGCCTGATGACAACATAAATGGCTGGGATTCGCCATAGAAAAGTGTTACATCATCTAGAGAACAATTGATATGATGTTCATCCTTGTTTTGGTACGAGTAGCAACCCATTGGGGTTGACATAATGCTTCATGATACCGTATAGTAAAAGAGATATTTTTTGTCTGATTTTGCTATTGAAGTCCACAGGAGCACTGTGATCTAAGCATTCTTCTATAAAAAGCGGGGATATACGTAAAGTCAACACTATTCAATCAGGATAAATGATTAATATACGCTTGCTCGCCTTACAGAGATGATTTTAAGCAAAAACTGCTTGCCTCATGGACACATGCTGCTAGTTCCTCACGCTGTACCCGGAATAATACCAGTCATATTCAGACGATGCAGTAATGTATATCCACTTAAGATGAACTCATAATTAGCAACTTACAGATTAACCAAAACTCGATGGGGGTTGTTTTAGTTGCAAGGAGAGAAGCTAGTTACGTGTATTCCAGTTCCTGTAAACTGTTTTCGGAACTTGTTCTGTATACAGTAGTGATGAGACTGATAAAAGAAGACGCGGGAAAAGGGTGAGAGTTTGGATCAGCGTATTTCGTCCGTAGGGTTCTCAATCGTCCCTAAAGTTGGATCGATGGGGTTACTCTCCCCTTCACTGAGAACGTGCACAACTTCCTCGCGCACTTTAAGAAAGATCTTTGCGTAGCAGTCTAGCAATGCTTCCTGATTAGCTTGTCGATGTTCCATAATATCTAATCTTTGACATAGTTGGGTGTTGGATGCCCGGATGATCTCATTTTCCTTCTCAAGGTGTAATATGTGTGCTCCCTTTGCAGCGTAACTCTCCCAAAGCGCTGAATAGGGTCTCAAGGTCTCAGTCATATGTTGTGCCCGTTGAGGGTCATCTCGACTCAATTCCCCAAACTCTTGAATGAGCGGCTGGAATGTGTCGTGTAGGGCTTGCGTCGAGTTGTGTTGTGGCAAGTTAAGTGCCTATCATCACATATTAGCAGAGCACCGGATTCTATTGTCCATACTTACCATCCATTCGGCGGCACTCTGTTCCGAATGAAACGAAAAGAGGTCATCATTGTCTGGTGGTGCGTATGGTAACCCATGCTGGGCTTCAGCCATCTCGGACTCGGGCTTCTGGGTAGTGCTTGCCATTTCGATTTGGATATCAACTATGAGGGTTCTTTATGTCGATTTTTTGACTTAGAAACACCGATCAAGAGACCATTTTCTAATACTGACTGGATAGTGGTCGTATTTAAGGGTGTTGTTGGGCTTATTCAACGAACTGTTTGGACCTGTTATAATAGAAAGCGAGATATTGCTTAATTCTCCCCTTTTACAGGTTTATTTACTATTCACTAT